AATTTTGAAAATTTCATAATAAAATATTTAAAATTTCCAGCTTCAGCCGTTTCCAGCTTCAGCCGCAACATTTATTAATAATTAATTAATTTTAAATATTTTTTACTAAAATTTATTCTTTGATTTTTTGATTTATTAATTGAAGCACTTCAAAATAATTATAATAATATAAATTATTTAATATAGTTATGTTAATTTTATATTAAAATAAATATAATTTTTATAATAATTTACTAAAAAAAATTTTATAAACTATTATAGTTATATAAGCAATTTAAATATATATAGGATTAGCTTGAGCTGGCTTATTAGCTTGGCTTAGCTCAGCTTAAAAGCTGTGATGAAGCTGGCTTATTATAAGCCGATCCTATCCCTAGTCTACACTACTTTCAAATCATTTATTTCAGTAAACCTTTTCATTAAAACTCTCAACTTGTCTTTAAATTCACACAATTCTAAATATGCGCCTATCAAATGCCGTTCTCCACTTTGAGGATCAAAAGAAGTTCTACCATGCAAAACCCTCCTGTTCATAAATATTACCATTTCACTTGGTTTCAATTTTATATTGAACTTCAAATTAGGATCTTCGAGAAATGTACAAAATCTATTGTACGCTTGATAAAATTCAACAACTTCATTTTCATTTTTATCCAAGAGCGATTCGTTAGGTCCTTGAAATGGTGGTGCGTAATTCACACAAAATGTATTGTTAAAATGATCCCAATCAATCATAGGTCGATTATAATGCATATGATGACCGTTGTTCATGTAATGAAACGTTATTGGTGTCTTAGTAAGAAGTGAATAATCAAGTGGGTATTTTGATTTAAAATTGTCCACAGCCGTAAATGAATCTGCAAAAATGCTATGACCTCCTTCTACAGAATTTTTGAAACAATGAAGGAATTGGAGACCTGGTGGTGCTTCGTAATATAATAAATCCATATGTAATCCTAAATCTAAATTTGTATATGCTATATTTTTAGCCTCGGGAACTGATACAACGTCAAAAGTTTCCCCGTAAAACGTATGTTTCAATGCTCCGATTCTTTTAACAATATTTTTAATCGAACAACTTTTTTCAGGAACTTCCTTTAAAAATATTAACCCATATTTCCACAATGTTTTCAATGAGTCGAAAAATTTCTCGTCAGAGTTCATGTATTCATCATGTTTTATCCAAATGTTTTTGGATTCTATAGTATTGCTATCCCATTTTACATGTTCTAATATTTTTTTTTGATTAAAAGATCTTAAGAAAGTAAAAGGATATTTACTTTGATGATATGAATCTGATTTAGAAGACCATGTTATTTTGAGAGTTTCTTGATCTTTATCAATATTAATAGGTTTAATATCCAATTCTATTTGAGAAGTTAAAAAAAGTTTTTGCTTATTATCCGAATGTATACATAATGGGCATTGACAATTATCTCGTAACCAAATATAATTAAAGTTTGACACTTTCTTTTCATCCGTCCATTCTACTTCTAATGAGTTCAACTTCTGTTTGACTTCTTTTATGTTATATAAATTTCTCGCAAAGATTTTATTGATGGCTGTAAAACCGATACGTTTACTTTGTGATAAATACATTTTGTATTTTGTCGATGCAATATTGAATCACCCCTATTTTTATAAAGAATTTTTATTTTATGTTACAAAAACGTTTTATAAGTAATTATCTTTATTAATAAATTTCCGATTAGGGTTATTGTTTATATTGCGTCTCGGAAAAATCTAAATTAGGTTTAAGGTACGTGGTGGGTAATGTGGCGGATAACATATTATTGAAGTTAAACCTTAGTTTATCAACTGGAATCTAATGATTCTTATACC